TGTGGTCTAATGACAATATAATCTATTCACTTACATTCACTAACTACTGTAGACTTACTTGCATTAAGAATTAATTACAATACTATTATTAATAATAATCTTTTGAAGCCCACTCCCATGCATCGCACATTATACCCCAGCCTCAATAACATTTTCTAATGTTTATTCCACCAATTTTCGCTTCCCCATCGCAAATAGAAATTTTTTATTTCTGTTAACACAATCTGAACTCAAATGCAAGCACAGTACTGATGTAGTTAAAGCTGTGTCTTCTGCAATACTGTAGTCCAGTTAAGGGTTCAACAAAAGAACAGTCAAACACTTGCAATGTATTCCAATGATGGGCTCAATGTCCATAAGATAATCCTCCAGAGAGGAGACATTCATCAGTTAGAAATTCAAAATAACAAAATATGAAACTGAAAAAGTTTCCCTGAAAAGCATCGAAGTTAAGTGTATGAACCTGTCCAACTTACAACAAAAGGGGTGTTCAAGTTCCATGATAAAGGGGTGTCCAAGATATAGGGCTGACCAACTTGAGGGGTTTACTGTACATCATAACACTACGCCTTTGGAATCTGAACACAAAGCGGGTCTGATCAGCTGCTTCTGTCCATAAGTACACGTACCACTGAACTGGAATTGTTAAAATTTCCATAGTGCAAATTATATGACGTTATCAAACATAGTTTATTCATATCAAACTGCAAAGAGTAAACAACAGTTGACTCATAAGTAAATTCAACGAACCCCTTTCTAATTATACTACTAAAGTCATGTTTCTCAAAAACAAGATCTTTATTACACAGTTGAAGAGCAATGGATCACTAAGAAAATGACTTGTACTATTGCGTAAATTTGTCTGCTTGTTGGTTACGTGGTTAATATTTAAACTAGCAGTTTCTTACGAGGAGCATGCAACAGATTAATCTAGTCCTCATTTTCTACTCCATATCATTAAAATAAAATTGAATATTATATTTTCTTCTACCGAAAGGTTCCACAAGTGGTTTCTTCCCTGCAGTTATTTCGACTGGCATTTTACGCATTTATTTAGCTTTCACGTACTCACGCTATCACATTTTTATTGATTTGATCAACCTAATAAAGGTTACAAAGAGTGGCATCATGAAAACATTCACACTGTAACTTTTCTCCAGTCGCTATTATTTCCGCTCTCTTAGCACCAAATATTCTCCTTAAAACCTTCTCGAACACGTTTAATCTATACCCTTCCCTTTCGGCAAAACCCAATTTTATAATCACGTAAAACAACAGGCACTGTATAATTAAAATTTAATAAATAAGGTGTTATGGTCCTCGCCTGGTGTTTGCAGGTATTCCAGAAAATTAATTTATTCTTCGATATTTTCGGAAATTTAATTCAACTTTGTTATTATTGTTATCAAATATTTAAAGTTCTCATTTTTAAGGATGAATTAGCTATCTTTGAATTACAATTTTGTCCTGAAATCTGGTGATGAGATGTGCGTGTACTTTTTGTTCTTAATAAGGGTACAGCCGGCCATACTTGTTGCTTCTTGTGTGCTGTGTTGTACACACCGAGTTTATGCTGCAACTTGGTCGGAATGAATGACGTGCGCATAATCTGCAAATTTCTGTGTAGGCAACACCTCAAACCGGTGGCATTCACGTCGGTAATAACAGCCAACAGCACTCAAGAAGAGTTACAAAATTCATCCGTTGAAGTCTACAAACCCTCGAATGCATCCATTGTGTGTGAGGGTGTAAAATGGATTAATATAATAGGATTTGTTAAATTGCGGCATACGGTGTGAACATGGCTATAAATGTTCGGGTTACATTAAAGGTAAAGAATTTATTGACCGTAAGGGAGAGCTAATTTAATTCCACAATAAAAGTTTGATTAGACAATGCTCAGAATTGTAAATCAGAGACCGCTAAAACTCCACCTTATAGGAATTATTTACGGAGTTAAATTCTGTAAAATATTCTATGTGAAACGTATATCACAGAAAAGTAATAGCATCGCTTTTTTCAATCTCATTTTCATAGTGAATTCTCGTACCAAAATAAGCCCAATGATGGGTCCATTTCAAAAATTAATATTTGCTTCTTCACCTGTATTTTGAAAACGATACATATAATAAAGATCAGTGAAAGTACATTCAAGCTCGTCATTGTGCAGTTTTCTCCACGCCCCATCGTCTTCCCTCTTAGGCCCAAATATCCTCCTCAACACCCGATTCTCAAACACCTGCAATCTGTGTTCCTCCCTCTGAGTGAGAGACCATGTTTCGCACCCATACAAAACAACAGGCAAGATTATTGTTTTGTATACTTTAATTTTCAGGTTCTTAGAAATCAGACGGGAAGACAAAATATTTTGGACTGAGAAGTAGCAAGCATTTCCGGAATTTAGTCTCCTCCTAACTTCCTCACAAGTATCATTTTGATTTGTTATTGTTGTTCCCAAATATTTGAACTTTGTAACCCTTTCAAAGGATTTATTAGCTACCCTAAGATAATTTTGCCCGCCTGTCTTCTGATGACGAGATACTAACATGTACTTAGTTTTTTCTGAATTTACTTCCAGCCCCACTTGTCTACCAGCCTCTAGTAAAACTTCTGCGTTCCTCTTTATTGTATTTATATCGTCCCCCAATAAATTAACATCATCAGCATATGCCAATAGCTGAAGTGTCCCATTCAATTGCAAATCCTCCTGCCTATCTTGGACTTTCCTGATAGCGTATTCTAGCGCAAAGTTAAAGAGCAAGGGAGACAAAGCATCTCCTTGTTTTAGACTGTTCTTGATGAGGAATGTCTCAGATACATATTTACCTACTCGAATTTTGCTGCAGGTTTCATTTAAGCACATTTTTATTAGACCCACTAGCTTCTTTGGTATACCAAATTCAATAAGAATATTATATAGCACTTCTCTCTTCACAGAGTCATAGGCTTTTTTGAAATCTATAAATAACTGATGTACGGTCCCACCGAACTCCCATTTTTTCTCTAGTATCTGACGAATGCAAAAGATCTGATCAATCGTTGATCTGTTTCGTCTGAACCCACACTGATGATCCCCAATAATTTCATTCGCATATGGGGTTAATCTTGCCAAAAGAATGTTGGCTAGAATTTTGTATGAGGTTGATAGCTGAGATATTCCTCGGTAATTACCACACTCAGTCTTGTCCCCCTTCTTATAAATAGGAATAATTATGGATTCCTTCCATTGTTGTTGCATCTCTTCCTTATCCCAAATTAACTGAATAAGCTTATGGATCCTCATATGCAACCCTTTGCCACCTGCTTTAATTAATTCGGCTGGAATCTGATCAATTCCTAGAGATTTATAACTTTTCAACTTCCCAATGGCTAGTACCACTTCATCTAAACCAGGTTCTGGCACCAACAGTTCAGCTGTATGCATTTTAATCTGTCTAATATCACCAGTCTCATTCGTTATAGCCGGTTATAAATGTCGATTCACTCATCTCATTTTGGGTAGGCGTAACTATAGAATTACTTAACTCCCCTGGTTGTTTATCTAACGTGAGCATAACTTCTAAGACACTGAATGAAGCGGTCGTAGCATTATTTAAGGTAAAGTAAAAAGTAAAGTTTGTCCCACTATACGTCATGTAGGCGTTTGGGGTGAGTGGAGGTATAGCTCCTCTCTTCCTTGACCTCGGCACTAGATGGGGGTGAGTGGTCAGCATCACGCCCCGGCCGGCTTTACCCCCGGGAAAGTACCCCGGTACCCATTGTAGAGGAGGCTGGGTGGGCCCCAGAGCCGGTCTGGACGCAGAGGCTAGAGGAAACATCCTCTGCCCCCGTCGGGGATCGAACCCCGGTCGTCCAGTCCGTAGCTAGTCACTATACTGACTGAGCTATCCCGGCAGCATTATTTAAGGTGTCACCTTAAATCAGGTTACGTCAGCCATGTAAAATTGGCCATTGTGCTGAGAATCGAACCCCGAACTATCGAAATACAAAGCAGGTATGGGTAACCACACAACTATTACGTTGAATCTTTTTCATTATTTCTGAGACAAAAGTATAAAAAGCCGGAAAAGCACACGCACAAACATGTGCCAACACTACCTCATGAAGTACTTAGAATGGAGTAGCATTGAGCTCAAAATCCAACTGCTCCTGGTTTAACGTTGTTTACCTCAGGTTACGTGCAAGGAGACGAGTTCTTGAGAATATCCTACAAAAGTAAAGACGAAAGTTGTTCAGCTGGAAATAGCAGCCATCGTAACGAGGTTAAAAAGCAGTTCCCAAACCGCCCAAGTAAAGTCAATCAGGCGCAGAAAGGAAAACATGTCACGCTGTCCGACTGAAGGGCATCGTCTAGGGAGAAGTGACGTGTCAAAATAACGGAAAGACAGGTAATACTTACGCTGACAGGAAGCACATCGGCTCAGAGGTGACGCGGACGACTCCCATTGGCAATTGAATGTGTTAGTATCTCGACCAAGCACTACTTATCCTCCCAGAATTTTTTTTGGCCCACTCAGTCAGTCACTTATCTAACGGATCAAAACACTTTTGCGCTGATAAAGGCAGCAGACACTTAGGAAACGTCAGTGAACTTATTTCAGACACACGTGCAACAACCCAGAAGTCTAATCTTCATACACGCCGCCGTGAGAACGTCAAATCTCATTTGCAAAATTAATGTAGCATTTAATGTCTTGCGTACTCTGGAAAAGAACATTATTTGAGTTCTTTCCAGAACAAACCGCTGAGGAGAATATACTTCAGAGCTCTGCGTAACTGGGCTTCAGATAACTTTATTTATAGTTTGTAATATTCATGAAATATTCTTGTCTCATGGATTGCACACAATACTTTGAATGTTAAACCTGAAGAGAGTACAGTGTTCGAGACTCCCAGGCGTATAGGAGGACAACAATAAAATTGGCCTGAAAGATATAGATACAAGCTTATGGAATCGATTCAACTACCTTGCAATAAGGACCGCGACGGATTCCTTGAACATAGGCCTTCGAGTTCCATAAAAGCGAGGAATGTCTTGAATATGTGTGTGAATTCACCTCCACCAAAAACATTAATCAATGGAGTTAGTTATACAGCTCATGTACTTATGTGCTGAGTATATTTTAGTGTTTGTAGGACATTTTTTCAGCTACATACGTTAAAAATTAAAGAGGCTGTCACAATAGGGCAGTAATAAAATTACCTTTCACTCATATGTTGATTCGATTTACATAAAATGAACTGGTATAATTAAATGTTAATCACTCCATGCCTGTTCCCATACTCGCGATTTGGCATAAATCAATATATTTACAAAAGCGCCGTTTTTTGAAAACAAATTGTTAGAGATATGATATCAGAAATGACCCTACGGGAACATCCTTTGATATCAAAATTAATTGATCACACACATCCGGCTCTATGATATGGGTTGATTACCAGCAGCTTCCCCCCAAAAGCCAATGCTGAATTCACGTAACCGAAGCTATGAAGTGAGAGTAGATATCATCTGCTTCGTTTCACACGTAAGATGACGCAAAACAAGCTCTCGCGTCTCCCCCAAGCGTCTACATGGCGTATACCGAGAAAAGTGTACTTTTTAGATAATTTATGTCTTCTTTAGAGTTTCACTTAATTAATTAGTGCCATCATCTAACACTGGCATTTTGTTTGTATCTTACATTTCTGAATCTCTTGGATATTCAAAGAAAGATTACAATGCAATTGCAATTAAAGTTAGTGTAGTTTTGAGATAACTCAGAATTTCAAACGTATGAGTGAATTATTTGACCACATTGTCTTTATTTATAACGAAATCTCTTAGATATTCCAAATCCTTGGAACAGCCCGCAGAAAATATGGTTTGTGGTAAGTGGAAAGGCAAAATGGCACGCCACGTTCTGAACAATAAATGGCACGTTATTTACACTCTACCTACGAAACTATTCTGCTTGATTCCGGTTCTAATGGTTGGGCGGCCATGATGCGGACTTCAGCTTAAGAGCTATCAGATTAATAAGGCGGTTAGCATATAGTACCACAGTTCTTCATTTTCGTAAATTTGGCAGAATTCATGCTACAGTGGCAATCACCAGAGACATGTGCATCTTTCCCATACGAATCACATTTGTTCATGTCTCTAAAACATGTCGGTAGCATTATCTACATAGTGGGATTCGTGGTTTTCACGACAGTGAGTCTTAAGATTGCTGGCTTCTGGGCTGTTGCGGTGTAATCTGGTAGAAGTTTACCGACGTTTCAGAGGTCATCAGGGCGATTCATAGCCCTGATGACGGCGGCAGTATGACCTCTGAAACGTTGGTAAACATCGACCAAACTCCACAGCGCAACAACCCAGAAGACAGAAATCTTCATACCCACCGCTGTAAAACCCTCAAATCTTACAACTATAACCTTATCAAAAAATTAGATACTTCCCAGATATTATTAGGGAAAAGTTAATCAAGCTAAATTAAATATGTTGGTGTGTTCAATAGCACTTTTTCCTTCTTTTCTTCTAGCAAGTGGGTTTAATAGACATACAGTTTGTATAATGACAGATTTGATTTATGTTAAAGAGACACCTAGAAGAAGAATAGGCGGTTTCGCCACATCTACAGTGCTTAATGTAAAGAATAAACACAAATCATCCTAGCATTATACAACAATCAGCCTAACTCCACTGGAAACAAATTAAAAAAATTGTTTGTAGCATGCAGAAGAACTGAAGTAAAATAATGATGTTAACACTTACAGTTCACGAAGGTTATGCAAGTTCTGAAACGCTTCTCTTGGTATTCTAGACAGCTGGTTGTAACTGAGAATTCTGAAACGAAACAGAAACAACAAATCCAATTTAAAGTTTGTATGTGTTGTACACATTTAAGTGTTCATGTTTCCTTCGATAATTCAATTAAGTAGGGAAGCGTGTGTAAAACAGAATAACAAGCTCAAGAATTCGTAATCGCACGTTTCAGAATCGTATATTTTGAAGTCTGTTTCTTTGACTTACGTCTAAGTAACACAATTGTGTCCGCTAGGAGGAGATGATGTTTAAAATTGTAACATCTTATTCCCAGTACAATCAAAGTACTTTAGCTATTCCTGTGGGCGAAGAGTGTTGTGTCAGAAAGTTTGCTCCAAGACCTGTAATCGAAATCAAATAAATTCCGTACTTAAAATATCGTCGTTTCTGTGTGCCCATACTAACATTCTACTCTCGCCATTAGTTTTCTTTAACATACCGTTTATTAGTACGGAAATGCGATACTTAGGTGTTTAATTGACATAATTTAAGCGTAAGCGAAGAACGTCCAATGGCCCGTTTACGTCTGTCAGTCACGACGAGGTCGGTGGCGTTGCGAACTATAGTTTGAGCTAAATAATACCTAGGGAAAAGTTTAACAAATTTTTGTGAAATTTGGTATGGAGTTCGTGCCATAGTAGGACGTTCGATTGTCCAACATTAGTATTCACAATGCGACGAATGCTCAATATCGCGAGGTGGGACAATGATGGCGCCTCGTTGCATCACTATATTTGATAACATCTTCGCCATTGATTACGTCAGTCACATTGATAATGTAACCATTCTCCACACATGCACGAGCACAACATACACTAGACTGACAAATTCGTTCATACACACCAGGGTTTCCTCGAATCATCTGGCATGCATTCTGCACACGTTCCCATAGGTCATCATCATTGTTTATGGGTGTTGCATAAACGACGGACTTCAAGTGACCCCACAGGAAAAAGTCCAATGGAGTCAGGTCCGGTGACCTCGGTGGCCATGCTACTGGGCCACCACGCCCAATCCATCGCTGAGGGTACTGTTCATTGAGATTATATCTGACGCGATGGGAGAAGTGTGCTAGGGCTCCATCATGCATAAACCACATTTGTCTTTTTGTATTCAGTGGTATATCTCCAAAGAGACGTGGCAAGTTTCTTCTTAAGAATCGACGATCTGAAGGTCCTCTTAGACATGATGGAAGCATGTGTGGACCAATAATCATGCGCCAACAATTCCTGCCCAAACGTTAATTGAAAGTCTTTGTTGGAAGCTGGATTTACTTTGATATAAAGTTAATTCATTGAAACTTAGTTTTGGCTATTATTTCGAAAATGAAACATTTGTGACTTCATGTTCATACGAACATTTTTTCTTACTTTTCATCCTAGAACACTCATACGAAGTTTGTAAACATACTTCTGACTCATCCTGTATAACCGTATGAAATGTGCGCATAGAAATCGGCGTAAATAAAACCTCTGAAATTTGTGTGTACTTCGAATAGAATTCCCTTCTAATGTGCTTATGAATAAATGTCAACAGAAGAGAATTTAGTGGTGGGTTGTACATTTCTTGGAGGGAACAAGACACAAAGTTTGCTCATCCTTAGATGCTGCTTCTGTTTCTGTTACTCTAGGCAGAAGTGCAGTTTCATAGGGACACAGCGTCGGCCGTGGTTTTGAAGCAAGAGCGTAAAGCCGTAAAAACATATATTAATGTTGGAAGGTTTAACATACGAGGTGTGATCGGAAAGTTTCAAGACTGCGCCTATAAAAACCGTACACTTATCTCAGGTATTAAATTCATCCATCACC